AAAAAAAAAAAAAAAAAAAAAAAAGGTTAAAAAAACAGGAAAAAAATTCCAGCCAATATGACAGTTTCAGTGAAAAATTCGCCGAAAGTAACAGCCTCTGTCATTCGGCAGAGGATGGCAGTGTTCAGCACTCCGAACGCAAAGACTGTTTTTGGACCCACATTGCACTGTGTGAGTGTGGGTAGGTGATAATGCGTTTTGGGTTGTGTAGACATCCAAGAGGAATTGGAATTTGAAACTCTTAACCTGTTCATTAACAGTTTTTGTTTATGTATGTAGTATTTACCATTCAGCCATCAGGCAGGTGATTGACCACTTTGATTTTTAGGGTTTAGGGTTTAGGGTTTTTAGGGAGGAAAAAAAAAAAAGATCATGATGGCTTGATGAGTGGGTAAAAAAAAGTCTGGTGAAACAGTCGGACACAGTAGTAGTTACTGAACAACGTGCATTTAGGGCATCATACCCTGCCGTGCACGGACGGCCTCAAACCGGCACCCTCCGCCACAGGAACGAAGTATCGTAACCACTACAACCCTTGGAGGTGTTATAAAAACTGGATCCATACCGGTCGTGATATCCAGCCCACCTCCAGGGCTGTAGCGTCCTTGAACTCACCACACACTCACAGGCCTGTGATTTTTTTTTTTAATGTCCTTCTCCTCCTTTTCGTCAGGGATTTGCTGGGTGGTTGAATGTGACCCAAAAAAAATAAAAAGCAGAGAAAAGAAGGACAAAAGAAAAGGAAAAAGAAGAGGAAAGAAAAGTCAAGAACATAAAGAAAAGAAAAGAGAAAAAAAAAAAAAAACTTCAGCACTTGAAAAGAACTTGAAAAAGAGAGAAAAAAAAAGAAAACTCTTGTCTGCCTTTCTGTTCTTCTTCTTCTTGACTTCCAGTCCTTTGTTTTGTTTTGTTTTTCCCCCGACCTTTGCCTGTGCATGGCCACTTTCTTTTTTTTTTTTCCTTTTTTTTTTAAAGTTTTAACCCGTACAGGGTGGGGGAGTTTCTCATAAACAACCTGAATGCTGGGACCATTACCACTCTTTCCCAGCTTTGGTTCGAGGGGCGGGCCGAATAGTCCCAACACCAGGTACCTCAGCCCAATCTTGGCAAGGGGAGTCTACACAGCGACTCCCAAAGCGCACAACTCTCCCTCTCCTATGCACTTCGCGACCACAGAATTCTGCACTTAGCGACCAGTGCTTCGGTTTCGGTACCACAAGGCGAGCCAGCTCCAGTTCCAAAACTGAGTGGGCCCGAAACTGTGGTTGCCTCCGCCAGATTAGGATCGAAACCAAGTTTCCACTACCCAGGTTATGTCAAGACCCACAACTCTGCTCTTAGGGAGGGACCACTCCTTCGGTTTCGGTACCACGAGGAGAGCCTGCTGCGGTCCCAAAACTGAGTGTCCCAAAAGCGTGGTCCCGTGGTCCCCTCATCCAGATTAGGCTCGACCCCGAGTTTCCACTACCCAGGTTATGTCATGCCCGCTTTGTCTTTTACTGATGTTTGACCTTTTTCGTTTTTATTCAATTTAATTAATAACTGCAGATTTCTTCATGTTTTTGGCTTTTCTATGTCATTTGTTTTTTGTCTTTTCTATGTCGTTTGTTATTAATATAAAATAATATTGATGGCATAATGTGTACAGGGAACTTATGCAGAAAAGCTTCAGGACGCCCTTGAGGACCTTGTGAGTTTGATTGGACCAATCATTGATGACCACCTCCTCTCTGCTTCTGAAGTTGGATGCTAAGTTTTCTAATTTAATTTCACGTGGATTTGTTTGAATTTTGAAAGCTTGCCATCGGCATACTCACAATAGGACTATCCTCGGTGTATTTGGCCGTTAATATGGGCATATTCAGAGCAAAAAGTAACTACTGTCTTCACGCAAATAGAACGCCCAGTCATTATCACTGCATGTGAACCGAAAGTTGCCCCAAATACAGCTGTAATGACCGGGCGTTCTATTCGGATGAAGATGATACTGGGAGGATGGCTGTAGCTATATGGTTTGCACAAGGACTGTTGTTGGCGGATCACGACACACTCGAGAGGAGCCAAAAATAGCTCAGCAGTCCATGGGGTATGATTCTGTACTGATAGGGTGTTATGGGCAGGCCGCAGGTCTGGTAGGGCCTGATAGGTATTCAAGGTAGTGTTAGGTTGAGGACTGGGTTTAGGGGTAGGCGAAGCGGATGTCCTGGGCCCGGGCCCATGGGGTGTTCCCAGATATAGTCCCAAGTTTGAAGCAAAGGGTTAGAATCTTTAGGTACAGGTCTAGGTTTTGGGGGGTTGACATACCGCACTCTGCCCCATGGGATCTCCTGATAGGTAGTCCCATGTATGGGTGGGTCCAGGTCCCTCTGCGCCCCCTTTACTGCACGGTGGGGGCTAGTGTGGGAGGTGTACTATAGGCCGTACTACAGCCGTGCTAACTTGGTAGTACAGCCGTTCTAAAAGGGGACAGTAAGAGGGAAAGGGATAGGGGGAGGGGGAGGAAGAAGGGGAGAGCGGGAGAGGGAGAGGGGGAGGGAGAATGGGAGAGCCAGGGAGAGGGAGGTAAAGAGGGAGATGGAGAGAGAGGGGAAAGGGAGAGGGAGAGGGGGGAGGGCGAGGAGAGAAGGAGGTGGGAGAGGGGGAGATGGGAGAGGGGGAGATGCGGAGGGAGAGCGGGAGGGAGGGAGAGGGAGAAGGAGAGAGGGGAGAGGGAAAGGGAGAGAGACAGGGAAGAGGGGAGAGGGGAGAGGGAGAGATTGATAGTGGAGAAAAAAATGGACTCCAAATTTTGCGTTTGCTTCTGTTGTAGTTCATTCTCGGATTGCCTTTTTTTTTTCCCCAAAATTTCCAGGGATTGGAATTTTTTTTATTGTCTCTGGTGTTATTTATTTTGTTCAGTCAACTTCCCACTTTATTTCCCATCTGGAAATGGATGGAATATTTTGTTTGTTCGCGTGCTGCTTTGTCGCTGTTTCACTTCTCTGTCACTTTCAACTTTCAAGTGTTCATTCCTCGGATTAGTACGTTGAACAAACCCCTCTCCCCTCTTCCCTGTATAGAGTTGCAAATTTCGAGCCCGTGTGAGTGGTAATTTCTGCATGCCCGTTTGCAATCTGTTATTAGTGTATAATTAGTAATTAATTTAATTAAAGCAATTGTTGAATTAAATTCAAGTACTCGAAAATGACAAAGAAATTGAAAGAATCAATTTAGGATTGAGACCCTTGTGAGGGGCATTGAATTGGGGGGACACACACATAGCGCAAACTGACCTAAGGATTAAGAAACACCAGGCTGTGCATATTTAGCGGCGTGGAAATCCAGACTGCCTGGCCTCGCATGCCCGTCTAAAGAAGTGCCCTTTTCGTTTTTCTGTTTTTGGGTGCTGGCAGATCTGTTCTACATTGCGGCAGAGCTGTCCAAATCCTGTCTCAAAGTCAAAATTGAAAATATACAAGCTTTGCATCTTGGGGGGTGGGGTGGGGGTGGAGGAGGGGGAGGGGTGTGAATTGAAGTGTGAGTGGATGATTCATCTTTACTTGGGAAAACCAAACTAGCAGATTTCGAGAACCGACACCGTAGGTGAAAATTCTTCAAAAGGTCGACAAGTCTCAGACAACACATAAGTCTGCTCAAATTTCAGAAATCTTATATTTAAAATTTGGGAGTCTGTTCAAATTTCAGAATCTTATGTTGAAAATTTGGGAATTGCGAAACCGAAACTCCTAGAAACAAACAGTGGGATGTGGAAACCCTAGCACCTTACAGGGAAAGGGCGAATGCCAAACGGGGCAAATGGCAGCAACTACCGGTAGTTTGCATCTTTCACAGACTCACAGAGTCACATGTCTGCATGGACGAAAGTCCGCTGCACATGGCCACAGCTATAACCACACCTGATGATCCCCATCATCATCATCATCATCATCATCATCATCATCATCATCCGACTGATCATGAACACCACGGAAAAGAGGAGATATGCTTGCAACAGAGAAAGTAGCCAACTCCAGCACAAAAGAAAAACCACTCTAGCACAAAAATTCCTCGTTCGGATTGAATTGAGGAGCGGTCTCTGCTGCTATTGGCAACCCTGCCGGCTATCCCTGCCGGCTACCTGTTCCTGTTGATGTCCGCCCTGCACCTGTTTCCCTTGCTGTCCTCCGTGCAGCTGGTTCCGATGATGTCCGCACTGCACCTGCAACGTCACCATGAGCAACACTGTACTTCACAGCAGTGGGACCGTCCTAAACCACATGAAGGCTGGCGCTGCAGGTGCAGGGCAGATATCAACAGACACAGGCAGCCGGCCCAGCATGTACTTCTCTGCACAGTTTGAAATCAACGACGCGGGTGAGACTTTTGCAGCACAGAAAAGACATTCCGCGGAGCTGAAGCGCTGGCCGCCAATCTGGAAGATAAATGACCAGATCTTTTTTCGACCAGGACAGGAAGTTTTGAAAGAAAGGTGTGGTGGAGCTGAAGCGCTTGCCGCGTTGATTTTTCACATTTGCACAGGGGCGCTGGGCCACAAAAAAATGCCGAAAAAATACTGTGAAACACTGAAATTGTGAATTGCATTTGCACATGCCCTGCACAGGGGAAGCCCGAGGGACCTGGATGGCCCAGGTGACTGCAGGCTGGGCCGTGCGGCTTGGATCTACCCACAGTTTTGTGTATTTTTTTTGTTTCTTTTCGGCCAGTATTTTGGTGCACTGCAGCAGTTCTGGGCAGACCACGGTGGCGTGCTTCCGACGGGGAGGAGGAAAAAGTTTTGAAAGTTCTTTAAACTCTTATGGGGTTGTGCAGAACACACAGTTTTCGTGAAATTCTTTTGCTTATTTTTTTAATCTGCTTAAACGACTAGTACCTCTGCCAGTGTTGGGAACATAGGGGAAAATGGCAGTTTTCCCAAACTCCTAAAAATTCGGAGGCCGGGCCCCGACGATGGCTGCCGTTGATAAATCTGATCGGCGGCTGTCGTTTCATTTCGGCCTCCAAACAGGTTGGAGGCTCACCCGAGGCCCACTATTTTCCCACGCGGCAAAGGTACTAGTGGTTTTACCACCAGTACTTTTGAGAGAAGTTTTGACTCTTCCCTTGCGGGGCCTGGAAACAAGCTGCGCACCAAAAAAAAAAAAGAAACAGCGCACACCTGCTTTTGGCCGGTGCCGCCATCCATTTTGCTCTGGTAGGCCGACCCCCAAAACTTGCAGCGCGCATGCGACCGCGTTGGAGGAAAGTGACTGGCGAATGTACTGTCGGTTTGAAGGAATTCTGATGTGACCCTCGACCTGTAAGGTGTAGATGGAATACCTTTCTTTTTTTTTTTTTACTGTTTGGTACTTTGGTTTAAAAATTCAAATGCCTTTCCGGATAGTTTGAGAACAAATGATTCGTGCACGCCACGGCAGCTGGACTCCCCGCCGCTACCTAGTTGTCCGGGTAGATCCATCATTTTTTTATTTTTATTTTTCCCCGATTGGCCAGCTAGATTCATCTGCATATGGCCATCTCGACAACCAAGAGTCTGTTGGACAGTCAAGGGTCCGCTTGTGGGGATTAGAAAAGTTCATTAAACAGAAAACTGAGAAAATAATAGGGAAAGATAATTCAACGATTTGAGCAGAAGCGAAAAAGATCGAGAAAATAAAGAACTAATCAGAAAAAGAGGCACACCTAGGAGTAACAGAAAGGGAAGAAACGAAAAGAGAATGAAGCAAAGCAAAGCGAAGCAAATGAAGAAGAAGAGAACGGAAACAAAGTTTAAGACCTTGGTAATTAATTGGGTTGTTCTTCGTCACCAATGCAATGCAGGTGGCTTCTTTGGCCTCCATGGATGAGGCTGCAGCATCAATAAGGATGTATGTGAATGAAATTGACACTCCATCTAAGGGCAGCCCCTCTCCTTTGGGAGAAAATAGAAATGAAAATGTTATTCCAGTGTATGGTGCCTTACCCCTTTCCGCGTTTGGTAAGACCCCCTCCTACTCCTCTTCTTCCTTTTCTTTCTCCTTCCTTCTCCTTCTCCTTCCTTCTCTTCTTCCTCCTCATCTTCCTTCTCTTCTTCCTCCTCGTCTTCCTCCTCGTCTTCCTCCTCGTCTTCCTTCTCTTCCTCCTCCTCTTGTTCCTTCCCTTCCTCGTCCTCTTGTTCCTCATCGTCTTCCTTCTCTTCTTCCTTTTCTTCCTTCTCCTCTTCTCCCTTCTCTTCTTCCTTCCCTTCTTCCTTCTTTTCTTCCTTCCTCACTCCTTGCCCTTCGTCCTCCTTTCTTTCCTTTCTCTTTTACTGCCCCTCCTCCTCCCCTACAGCTGCAGGGGCTTGTAAGTGTTTCTGATCTTGTTAGCTGTGGCGAGGTCCACATACCTTGATCCTTGGTTCCCGACCGCCAGTTACGAAGATCAATGACCAGAAACGGAGAATGCCCGTGTGAGTGGGAGCTCGGCCCCGGGCGAAAAGTTTTTTGCTGCAAACACAGTGCGTGCTTCGTAAAATGCAGCGAGAGTATGTTGGCCTTACTTCACAAGTTCACCAAAGGGATACCCATTTTCAGAAAGCGTATTAACCATGGTTGCCCCAGACCCGGACATCCAGACACTGGACACGGGTCCGGGACCCCGTGTCTGGATTCATCCGGACGTCCAGTAATCCGGACACCGATCCGGACAACCGGACATACGGAACCGGACGGTCCGGTTATGAATGAACAGGTCAGATACATCCCAGAAGTTACTGTTAACTTTGAAGTAAGAGAAGCGCACACTCACTCCAAGAGCTTCTGGGATGTATCTGACGGCCATAACGACTGCATTCAGTCCAAAATGTATTAGTGTGGAAGTGCTAAGTATAGATCTCGGACCTAAAAAAAAAAAACGTTTTTGTTTTTGTTCTTTTTCGTTATCGTTCCCCCCCTTTTTGTCGTGTGAATCTCCTCTTTCTTTATGGGTTGAGTAGCTTGAGATAGTTGTTTGTGTCATTTTGTAATGCGGTGTTTTTTGTTAGTTTCGTTGTCATGAACTTGTGGTGGCGTGTTGGAGGTGCGAGGCACGAGAGTATCTTTCCTTACTCTTCTGTTTTCTTCTTCATCTCTCCTAAATTCAGTTTTTTCATTTCTTCGCCTTCCCTTCTTTCTAGAGCTGTGATTGATGGCGTTGTCTCATTTTGAGTTTTTTGCATCACGAATGGACCAGGATCATAGGAATCATAGGAATAGGTTAACTCTAGGCATGAACCTGGAGTACAACAATGAGGCCTGCTCCTTACACCAAAGGCTGCAATAAACAACCCAAAGTCGATAGACTCGATACCCAGAAGCGAAACCCCGGAAGCAAAATCTGAGTCCTGAAATCCAAATGCCAGAAACGAAAAACCAACCACAAGAAGGTCCTGTGTCCTTCGGGACACCCGTTATAATTGCAACAATACCGATAAGATAAATTAGCATTGCCCTGTGCGCAAGGATGACACGCATAAATTGAGAAATGGTCCAAATTAAAGACGAAAAGAAACCACGAAGTCCACGTCGGCGAACCCTAAACCCTAAACTGTGAACCGGAACCTGTAGCGAGAGTGGGATCAAACGCTCGCTTTACCCAAACTGCAGCTAAGTTGAGCTAACGCACGCACGATCCAATCGTTTAACGAACCTTTGGCTAAGGTGGGTTCAAAAATGTTTTATCGAACCCCTAGCTAAGGTGGGGTCAAATGGTTTACCATGGGATCAAATGGTTTACTGTGGGATCAAATGGTTTACAAAGCCGGTCTAGATTGTATCTGGCATTTGCTTAAGGCATATAGTATACATATATATGCCAAATTTGGCCTAGTGCATTGGCGTAACAAGTGCCCCGCTGAGCCTGTCTCCAGCATGGGCATTGGTGGTCGGATGCCATGCCGGTGAGATCCAATGGTTTACCGAACCTGTAGTAACTAAGGTTTACCTAACCTTAGCAGGCTTTCAGGCTCGCTGTGAACACCAGCTAGCTGCCTCTGTTATTTATTTATTGTGGAGTTCTTTGGTGTGGCCCACCTGGTGAAGACAAACATTACTCCCTCCGATACCATTTTGTCTGTCAGGGTGGTTCTTTGGAGGAAAGGAGTCAATAGTAGGGCTATAGTTTTGACATTTTGCACCTGTGTGTCTATTTCATAGGACTCTCCCTAAACTAATTCATTAGGAGGTCAGGCCTGACTACCCAGACGATATGGCACCCCTGTTATTCTCCCAGGCTCACAATGGTATCCCTAGCTGATATGGTACCCGTGTCATCCAGTCAATCTCACAATACCATCACTATGGTTTCCCCCATGACTGTATCTGACTAGAAACATAGCTTGTATACATTCGCGATGAGGGGGCTTTGTGCTTGGGGGAAGGCAGTAGTGCTTCTCTAACAGGTCATTGGGCTCATTTGGTTAATCAAGTCTAAATGTTAAAGGCCTCCTCTGTAAGGGGCAGAGTCCACCCCTCCACCCCTCCACCCCTCCACCCCTATATCACTACATAACTACACCCAAACATGCGTACACCCATAGACGCATAGACGCATAGCCCCATACAGCCATACACGCGTACACCCGTAGACGCATACACCCATACACCCATACACCCATACACCCATACACCCATACACCCATACACCCATACAGCTGTACACCCATACACCCATACACAGAACAGGGGGGCTGTGTCAGACTGTGCCATTCAACTTCTGTCAACCCAGCGTAGAAGGGCTAGACCCTATATAAATGCATAAAGGTATCTGTTGCTCAGCTGTTTGAATAACAAAAAGGGACAAAAAACAGCCAAAGTCCAGACACCGTCATTGTGAAGCGTGTGTGAGTACATCCTGAAACGATGCACATTGGCTGCGACACATGTCTCAAAGTACCAACACGTTCAACGGCATTGCTTGACCGTAAATTGAAGCAAATTGGGTGTTTTGTTTTGCAGAGAACTGGGCGAGGGAGACGGTCGATATGTTTCATCGAGAGCTGAAAGTGAAGGTCTCTCTCTCTCTCTCTCTCCTTTTCTCTCTCCTTTTCTCT